TAAATCCTATACAGAGTGGTTATGGGTCGGAACCGACGCCACAGCACATCACCACCACTACCACCAAAATAAAAGTGCAGGCCACACCCCAGGGAAACTCCCCATAATTGGACCAAGGCTGTGATCAGGACTATGAGTTGGCACACCACCACCACCAAGGACTTGTTTACTAAGGAAAGGGATAGAATGAACCTTGGGAGTAACTACCTATCTTTGACACCCCATCCCTTCAATAAAGCATGCATAGGGTACTCCTTGTACTTCCCATATTATAGTACTGATAATAATTAATACTTTAATGTCTTGTGATCACTGAAAAGTATTTGGCACATAATAGGTACTATTATATTTTTCTTTTATTGTTGTTTGTATTTTTTCTTTTATTGTTGAGAATATACACAATAGAACATACACCAATTCAACAATTTCTACGTGTGAAATTGATTATGTTATGCAACCATTTCACCCTCCTTTTCCAAAGTGTTCCTCCTCCATTAACAAAAACTCAGTGCCCCCTAAGTTTCCTAGCTAATCTTTCAAGATCCTCTTGTCACTTTGATCTCATATAAATAGTTCTTAAAAGAGCACAATGTTGGAGGCACTCTTTACTAGCTAAGTAAAAGTTAATTGGATTGAAAGATGACTTCAGGGGATATTTTTGGTTTAATGTTTAATGATAATCTCAGGGCAGTAGTTTCAAGGGCTCATCCAGCCTCTATGGATCCAGAAATTCTGGATTCCATGAGAATTTGAAATTCTGATCTGCAATTTTTGCTTTTAGACCAGGATTCTTCCATAGAATCTTGGATCAATACATTCAGTAATGGTAGCCTGGCACCATCAGTTCTGGTCTTGTGACAAGGAGACAATTGTTTATGGTGAAGCAGCCATAATTATTCATGCAGCAGGTACTGGGGTACAGCACAAACCTCTGTGAGAGCAGAGAGGGGGGTGCTGGCCCAGCTTGGGAACAGGGTGCAGGAAGGCACCCTACAGGAGTCCTGCCTAGGAGTGTAGGGATTATTCTTTTTCCTGGCCCTGGGAGGCTGGGCTAGTGGGAAGGCAGAAATGGTCAGCTGTAGCCATTTGAGGACATTAGTTCATCCTCATCAAGATACCAGTGAAGATAACACCCAAGCATAAGGTTCTTCAGCAGGGGAAAGCCTAACCACATGATGGGGACATTTGCCAAAGTTTAAGGTGAGAGTGCTAGTCTGAAAGGCCAGGGAATCTTCCTGAAGCCCTAGAATGTTGTAGGCAGTCATAAAATTACTTCTGAAATTAGAAAATAACAATGTTGTTGTTGTTCATTGCCACCCAGTTGATTCCCAATCATAGCAAACCCATGTGTGCAGAGTAGGACTGTGCCCCATAGGGTTTTTAAAAGAAGACTGGGACCGTTCCGTAATAGATTACTAGGTCTTACTTGCAAGATGCCTCTGGGTGAGTTAGAACCACCAACCTGTCAGCTAGTAGTATAGTGCTTAACTATTTGTACTATCAGGGACTCCTAACACAATGATAGATGCTACCTGGAGTCCTGGTGTGGTGCTGGGGGCTAATGCATCAGACTGCAAACTTGTTTGAACTGCAAGGTCGGTGGTTCAAGCTCACCAGCTGCTCCTTGGAAACCCTATATAGAGTCTCTATGGGTCGGAATCAACTCTACGGCATTAAACAACAACAAAAACTCTTCAGACCAAGGATTTATCACAAATACCTTTTTTCAACAACATAAATGACTCTACGTGTGGATCTCACCAGATGGAATACACAGAAATGAAATAGACTACATCTGTGAAAAGTCAAAACAAGGCCAGGTTCGACTGTGGAACAGACCATCACTTCCTCATATGTAAGTTCAGGCTGAAGCTGAAGGAAATTAAAACAAGGCCACAAAGCCAAAGTACAACCTTGAGTATGTCCCACCTGAATTTAAATATCATTTCAAGAGTCGTTGTTGTTACATGTCATCAAGTCGGTACAAACTCATAGCAACCTTATGCACAGCAGAACGAGACACTGCCCAATCCTGGGCCAACCTCACTACTGTTGCCACACTTGAGCCCATTGATGCTGCCACTTTGCCAATCCATCTTGCTGGGGGTCTTCCTATTTTTCTCTGACCCTCCACCCATGATATCCTTCTCCAGCGACTGGTCCCTCCTGACAATATGTCCAAAGTATGAGAGATGAAATTTGGCCATCCTGGCCTAAGATATCGTTCCATTTCATTTTTGACAATTTTCAACTTTCCTAGATTCATACTTCGTACATACCATGTTCCCATTATTAATGGATATTTACAGCTGTTTCTCTTCATTTTGAGTTGTGCCCCATCGGCAAATGATGGTCCCCAGGGCTTTATTCCCACAGGCTTTACTCCATTCGCGTCATCAAGGTCAACTCTACTTTAAGGAGGCAGCTCTTTCCCAGTCACATTTTGAGTGCCTTCCAACCTGAGGGGCTCATTTTCTGGCACTATATCTGACAGTGTTTCTCTGCTGTTCATAAGGTTTTCAGTGACTAAATATTCAGAAGTAGTTCGTCACTCCTTCTTCTTAGTCTGTCTTTGTCTGGAAGCTCATCTGAAACCTGTCCACCATGGGTGACCCTGCTGGTATTTAAAATACTGGTGGCATAGCTTCCAGAATCACAGAAACTCATGAGGCACCACAGTATGACAAACTGACAGACATGTGGTGGATTTCAAGGTAGGATTGACATATTTAACACCTATGATCAAGAGGAGTCCTGGTGTGGTGCTGAGGGTTAATGTACTGGACTGCAAAGTCACTTTGAAGTGCAAGGTTGGTGGTTCAAGCTCACCAGCTGCTCCTCAGAAACCTTATACAGGACTGACTGTGAGCTGGAACCAATTTGATTGTGCTTAACAACAACAAAATGACCAAAACCCAGATAAATTATGGGATGACATTGAGGACATCCTACTTTAAGACAACAAAACGTCATTAAAAAAGCGGGGGGGTGGGGGGGAGACCAACATGGATGTCAGAAGAGACTCTGAAACTTACTTTTGAACATAGAATAGCTAATGGAAGCAATGATGGAATAGAGTAGGAAATAGAAGCAAATGAAATAAATGATGACATACAAAAGCTGAACAGAAAATTTCAAAGGGCAGTTTGAGAAGACAAAGTAAAGATCTGAAGATAGAAAATCAAAGGGAAGAGCACCCTTGGTGTTTCTCAAGCTGAAAGACCTGAAGAAAAAATTCAAGCCTCAAGGTGCAACATCGAAGGATTCTAGGGCAAAATACTGAATGACATGGGAAGCATCAAAAGAAAATGGAAGGAATATCCAGAGTCATGGTTGATGTTCAGCCATTTTAGATGGTAGCATATGATCAAGAACTGATGGTATTGAAGGAAGACATCTAAACTGCACTGAAGACATCAGAGAAAAACAAGACTCCGAGAACTAACAGAATATCAATTGAGATGTTTCAACAAATGGATTCAATGCTGGAAATGCTCGCTCATCTATGCCAAGAAATTTGGAAGACTACAGCCTTCAGTGTGGCTTATGCCTCAACATAAAGAAAACAAAAATCTTCACAACTGGACCAATAAGCAACATCGTGATAAACAGAAAAGAATGAAGTCAAGAATTTCATTTTACTTGAATCCATAATCAACACTCCTGGAAGCAGCAGTCAAGAGATCAGATGATGTGTTGGATTGGGCAAATCTGCTGCAAAGAACCTCCTTAAATTGTTAAAAGCAAAATTGTCACCTTGAGGACTAAGGTGTGCCTTAGTCATATGCATGTGAAAGTTGGACAATGAATAAGGAAGACCAAAGAAAAACTGATGCCTTTGAATTATGATGTTGGTGAAGAATACTGAATATACCACGTTCTGCCAAAAGTACAAACAAATCTGTCTTTGAAGAAGTGTGGCCAGAATGTTCCTTAGGAGCTAGGAGGATGGTGAAATTGTGTCTTTAGTACTTTGGACATATTATCCAAAGGGACCAGTCCTACCATGCTTGGTAAAGTAGAGGGTCATTGAAAAAGAGGAAGACCCTTAGTGAGATGGATTGGCAGTGTCTGCAATGGTGGGCTCAGGCATAGAAGCAGTTGTGAGGATGACACAAAACCAGCTGGTGTTTTGTTTTGTCATATATAAATAAGGTCACTATGTGCCAGAACCACCTTAATAGCACCTAACAACGAAGCAACCAAAACAAACCCTCACCTGACAGAACAGGGGTATCTGTGTTTGATGCCCTTCTGAGAAGATACAGAGAACAGAAAAACCAGCTCCTGGCCTCCAAGGCAACCCTCAACCCACCTGGCAGGCTGAGGAAGAAGCTCCACTGGGGGCAGCCTCCCTGGGATTCATGGAGGTGGAAGAGCCTGAGGGTGGGTGTCCTGGCCTGACAATGCTCCTTGTGTCCCGTCCTCATGTTTCAAGGGCTAGAGGAGAGGCAGTTGCTGCCTGTAGATTCCTGCTTTGCCCCTAGGAAAGTGAGCTGACCATCCTTCCTGAGTACTGTGCCCACCACACAGCTCCCACAGCAATGGGCCTACCAGCCTTGGGATCCCCTCCCCAGGGTTTGCTGAAGCTTCCCTGGTCCTGGCTTGGGAAGCCGTTGATTACTTTCCCTGCTGGATGCCTTCCCTTAGAGCATCATTAGTTCTGGGATTCACTCCTGTGTGTCCCCAAGCCTCTAAGTGAGTTAGTGAATGAATGAGTGAGTAAGTAAGTGAGTGAGGAGTGAGTAAATCAGTGAATGAGTAAGTGGGTAAGTGAGTGAATCAGTGAATGAATGAGTGAGTGAGTGAGATAGTGAATGAGTGAATGAGTGAGTGAGTGAATTCCTGGCTGCTAGGGTGTGGTTCCCCCAGTGAAGAAAGGGAGACCTGCAAGGGTTAACCAGGAGCCTGCCTGTGGTCTGAGGTAAGCAGGGAGCGTATTTGTTCAGGTAAATAAGGAAGGATTACTTATAATGGGAAATCAGGCCTCAGCCAACTCTTCATCTCCCGGCTGCCTGACTTCCTCCCAGCATATACATTCCTGCACTTGCCTGTCCACACGTTGCCCTGCAGACCAAGTTCCAGGAGCCCACTGCCTTTCTGTAGGCCCCTGGGGGCTGGGCCTTGCCATAGCACCAACAGGCATCCCTGGATTGGGAGCAGAGGGCTCCCTACAGGACACCCAGCCCTGAGACCTCAGAAAGCCACCCCTCGAGGGTGGCCAGGCCCCCGACGTCCCACTCGAGTGTCACCTTTGCCCCCAACCTTGCTGGCCTCTGGCCCCACCGGCCCCCCAGATGCCCGGCTGAGACACAGCAGTGGCCCAGGATGCCCATGCCTCCTCCTGGTCCCTGAGGTTGACACTGCAGTGGACGACTCCTTGGGCACTGGGCAACTAACAGGTAAGTCTGGCAGGTGGAATGGAGGGTCCAACCACAGGGGCTAAGTTGGGGAAGGTGAGTGATTGAGGGCAGGCCTTGGAGGTACTCTTTGCAAGCTCGGGCCTCATCTCCCTGCATCAGTGACCCTGTGATTGGGTTCCTTCACCCTCAGAGTCCCTTACCTGCCCTGTAAGGTATCCACTCAGCCTCTCTGGGCTGTTCCCAGAGCCTGGGTGAGCACCCTGGTCTGGTGAAACCTGGGTTGCACCAGGTCTGTGATGATCTCTGTCAGGGCTACACATTAAGCCCAGTCTGTCCAACTGGACAGTGGCAACTCTGTGGGTGCAGAGCCCCAGCCCCTAAGACCCAGCTGGTTCTGCTGGGCCAGCAGGGCTGCTGGGCTAAGGGAAGGGGCTCTCTGCCCTTGTGCCAGGCCTTGAGTGGGCAGGAGCCCTGGAAACTCAGGGCCAAGGCTGGGGGTCCGGCCCAGAGCACAGGGGCTGGGCTGGCCAGTGGCGAGCACAGGAACCAGGAGGTCTGGGAGACCTGCAGGCAAACCTTGTGTGCTCAGGCATCTTGGGGAAGCTGAGGACCCACGGGCCCGGTCTGAGAACATTAAGAAATCAACAGTTGTGTGTGCAGAAGTGGGTGTGGGGTGTGTGTGTGTGGAATCCCTTGAAGACTCTTATTTCCAACATTTGCCAGAGTCTTCCTGTGGCCATATAGGGAAGGGGGTGGTGGGGATGGTAGGGTAGAAGACTGAGGGGCCTGAAGTGGGACAAGGAGTGTGCATCCGTGGCAGGCATATGTGTTGTGGAGTGGGTAGGTCAACTCCCCACCCTGTTAGACAAGGCCATCCAGCATCTCCTATCCAGGACACAAGCTGAGAGTGACCTGTGCCCTTTATGACAGTCACAGTCTTTCTCCTTAACCTTGGCCAGGGCTGGGCCTTGGCCTTATTTCCTGCCCCCCACATCCCCAATAAACAGTTTCACCGACAACCCTTAATCAAGGGACAGCTCCCCAGCACCAGCTGCTCTTCTGAGTAACAAAGCAAACAGGCATTGGGCTGCCCCAGGCCCGAATGGAGGGCAGGGCTGGGGAGGAGGTTCCATCTGGCAGGTGGGCCTGGGCCACTGCTCAGCCCAGTCAGATGAGCCTGCCCTCAGCCCACCTGGGGGAGGGACCAGAGTCAGAAACTCAAAGCTTAGAATCTTACCACCCCAAACTCACAGACAAATTTGGGGGTCAGGTGGGGAGCATCCTCAGAGCCTCCTGGAGGGTGAGATGTGAAGGAGATGACCTCTCACTGGTTAGGGGACGATTCTCCCTCTTGGACCTTCTGACTGTGAACAGACAAGTGTTTACACTGTGCCAGGCTTCACAGAAGGATCCAGAAGTGTTTATTGAACATTACCAATTAGAAAGCTTTTTGGCAGAAGTGACCCAATTCACTTTACACTTTTCACTTTTCACAAGGATCCTCTGAAGTAGGCCGGAGCCCAAGACTCTACCCACTTAGCCTGAGGGTAAAGAGGGCTGCACCCAGTAGGTGCTCAGTTGATGCTCAGAAAGTGTGTTGCTGGTAGTAACTGGAAGAACCAGGAGAATCTACTTTTTTTTCTTCTTTTTTAAATACCGAGTTCATTGCAGATACTAAGTTAATAGCCAATTAGGGAAGACTTTTGTGCTAAACTGGTTTGGTGATGCAGCTTGAGTGGGACCTGGGAAAGTCAGTCCAGACTGACAAGGAGATCTTCTGCATAGAGAGACAGGGCTTGCAGAACCAGACGTGCAGTGGATCTACAGACCCTTTCTTCCACCAAGTTGCTTTTCTCCCTACACTTGCATTTCCTCATCTGTGAAAAAAGGTTGGATATGAAGGTCTCTGAGGAACTTAAGGCTGTTGAAAGGAAGCTTCATGGAGGAGACTGTCTACAGTGGGGATTTGAAGACTGCATAGGAGTTGGGAGAGGCTGGAAGTTTCTGATCTGCAAGCCTGTGTGCTTTCGCAGCCTGTCCCCTAGGCTGAGGGGGTGGGGGGAAAGTGGGTGGGACTGGAACTCCAGGCCTGGCTCCTCCTAGGGGTCAGCAGTTGTCCTGGGCTGGCCAGAAAGGTGGGTGACCCCAGGACAAGGGGCCTAAGACTCCTGTACCACCATCCTCTTCTCTCCCCCAGACCCCACTTTTCTCCCTCCACCCACCATCATCAGCTGCTTCTTTGTTCTCTTCATGCCTCACACCATTATCTCTCCCTCCCCATGTCTACAACCCCATCCACTACCTGCTCCCAGGTGCCACTTTCATGCAACCCCAGCCCTTCATGAGTCACAAAGGTTCCCATCCACGGTCCCCCTCAAACTTCACCACCATTTTAAGACATGCTTTTGACAGTTTTGACTCCTGGTGTGATGCTGTAGGGTCAGCACTGGACCGGGAACCACTGGTCACCAGTTCAAACCCACCAGCTGTTCCTCAAAAAACCCTACATAGGGTTGCTATGAGTCACAACTGACTCCACAGCACTTAACAACAACAACTTTGACAGCCTATTTAACAGATGATACAACTGAGTCTCAGAGGAGGCCCGTTACTTGCCCTGGTCCCAGAACTAGATAGCAGGGAGTATAGGGCTCAAACTGGGTCTGGGACCCTCCTCCCAGCTGCAAGTCTCATCCCATTCAGTACCCCACCTGGTGCTTCAGCCAAGTGAATGCCTGTCAGGTGGAACAACTCTTCCCAAAGCAAACTTTGCAAAAGCCGAGTTGCCCTGGGCTCTTCCTGACATTTAACGCTGGGCTCCTTCTCCAACTTAGTTTGCATGTTTCCCTGCCCAGCCCTGGGGGGAGCCAACCTAAGAAGTGCCCTCTGCCAGATTCTCTTTTCCCATCTCAGTGGCTGGGCGGGCATCATCCTCCTTCCTCCTGAGCCCCTCCCCTACTGCCAGGGACCTTCGGGTGACACAGCTGGAAGCTGGACAGGACCACCACGGTCCACCCAGGATCTGAGGAGGGGGCAGTAGGCCTGTATGGGAACTTGGTGAATCAAGGCGCCTCTCCTCCCTCTAGCTCTGGGACTGGGGAGTGGGGGCTGGGAGTGACCGCACCTGGAACTCTTCCTGTGGTCCTTGGCCTTTCTGCTCTAGGGGCAGCAAGTAGTCTGAGAGTAGCTGGGATCCAGCTCCTCCCACTCCCACCTTCCTGAGCCTCCCTGGGCCGGGGACTGAAGGGTGCTAGATCCCTGCTGACACTTTACCTAAATAACCCCCTAAACCAAACCAAACAAACCAAATCTATTGACATCAAATTGATTTCAACTCATGGAGACCACCTGTGTATTACAGAGCAGGGTTTTATTGTCTATAGCCTTTGTGGACGCAATCTGCTGCAAACCGAAAAGCCAGTGGTTGGAACCCAGCAGCCGCTCCCTAGGAAGAAAGCTGTGGCAGGCTACTTCTGTAAAAATGTACAGCCCGACAGACTCTGTGGGGCAGATCTACCCTGTTCTATAAGATCACCGTAATTAGAATCCACTTGACAGCAACAGACTGGTTTGGTTTTAGTGAATCACCAGTCTTTTCTCCCTGGGAGCTGCTGGTGGGTTCAAACTGCTGACCTTTCAGTTAGTAGATGTGTGCTTAACCATTACACCACCAGGGCTCCTTTAACAACCCCTACGGTCCTGATGTGGAGATGCAGGATAAGTACTATATTGCTAAGTGCAAGATGGACCATTCAAAACCATCAGCTGCTCTCAGAAACCCTATACAGCATAGCTGTGAGTCAAAACTGACTCGACTGCACACCATAAGTCCTAATAACCCACCCCAACAGATTGAGAAAATTTTGGAAGTTATTTCTGTTCTTCACCTCTCATTCAGTTCATTCAGGACTTTTATTATCTGTTGTGATGTTGGAGAGCCTTCATGCCCTAACCCCCCTTCCCAAGCCCCAAGGCATGTTCCCTGGGCCAAGGGTTGGGGTTCAGGCAGACTTCTTCCCCAGACTATCAAGTTTTACAGAATCATCATGAAGCACATCTGGTCCCTGCTTTGTGCTGTGTCAGGAGGAAGCTGCAGAGACGCAAAAGAACCAAGATAAGACAGCAATGTGTGTACACGCCTCTCAGAAATTGTGAAGCCTTTTCCTGCCACTGCCACTGCCCTGCCCTGCCCTGCCATGTCAAAACCCAGAGACACAGTTGTCTCTGAGTCTCCGCTTCACTGATGAGGAGACTGAGGCTGCAAGGACCATCCACAGCAGAAGCAGCATGTGCCGAGTGAAATCCAGGGGTCCCCAGACCCTTAAGGACTGCTGTTCACCTGAACAGGGCATCCATGAAACCTCAAAGGCCACAGCTGCGGCCTGTCCCCCCTCCCCCCTCCCCAAGAGGGTTTGTGGAGCTGGATCATGAGAAATGCTATAGCTGAGTTAGAGAAAGCAGGAATCTGGGATACGGCTGCAATTGGGTCGCAGGATGGGGAGTATGTATATGCTAGGGTCAGGGAGGTAGGCAAGCTGGTGCTGGAGCTGCTGAGAAATGAAACCGATTTTACACCCTCGGAAACCCTGTACTGGGTCGCTAAGGGTCAGAACCGACTTGACGGCACTTAACAACAACAACAACATGCTCAGTAAAGGAGTCCTGGTGAAACACTGGTAAGCACTCGACTGCTAATCGAAAGGCTAGTGGATTAAACCCACCAGTGGGTCTGTGGAAGAAAACACCTAGCTATCTGTTTCCATAAAAGTTGTTGTTGTTAAGTGCTGTTGAACGACCCTGTATAGGGTTTCTGAGGAGTGGCTGGTGGGTTTCAATCACCAAACTTTCAGTTAGCAGTCCAGTGCTTACCCTACACCACCACACCAGGATTCTCCATAAAGATTGTTGAAGTTGCTGTTAATCACCTCCCGGTCAGTTCCAACTCATTACAACCCTGTATTGGGTTTCCAAGGCTTTGAAAACGAATTTTCGTGGCAGCAGAAAGCCTCATCTTTCTCCCACAGAGCAGCTGACAGGCT